GGGGAAAAGGGATGGGGGAGCCAACAAACTCAGGGACAAGGGAACAACAAGAGATCTAAAACTGACGGCGAGGAGGGTGTAGAACACCTGATGGGGTTTGATCAAGTGCAATGTAACTGAGAGGAATTACTGAGAGCCGAATGAAAGTCGAACATGACAGTGGGACAGGAAGAAAGTAAAAGTAAATAGAGGAAAGAACTAAGAGGCAAAAGACATTTATAGAGGCATAAATATATGTAAATGTATTAATATATAGCAATAGGGACATAGGTCTTTGTACATATATTTATAAGTTAAATATTAAGGTAGCAGATGGACATTGGGCTTCTACTCAAGTTCTCCCTCACTTTGTTCTAATAACCTGGCATACTGTGATGCTTACCTTCCCCACGTGATCACTGAAGACAAAATGGGTGCATAAGCAAATATGGTGAAGAAAGCTGATGGTGCCCGGCTATCAAAAGATAAAGTATCTGGGGTCTTAAGGGCTTAAGTTAAACAAACAGCTAGCAGGGTAGCAACAAAGCCTACCAACATGTGTGATGACAAAGTGGATGATGGGATCAGGCATCAAGAGACTCAAAGCCCATCTGTGGACAAAAGGACATTCCCTCACAGAAGGGTCACAAGGAAGGGACGAGCCAGCCAGGGTGAAGTATAGCACCGAGGAAACATACAACATTCCTCTAGTTCTCTAATGCTTCCTCCCCACCCCACTATCATGACCCAGTTCATGATTGGAGCATGTACACTGGTACAGATAACGAGTTCTCAATTGGAGGAATCCAGGACAGACAAAGCCCTTAGGATCAATAATGGAAGTAGCAATACCATGAGGGTAGGAGGAAGGTAGGGGGAGAAGAGGGAAAGGAGGAGCGGATCACAATGATCTACATATAACCACAGTCTCCCTGTATAATAACCTCCTCCCCCACCCCCTCCAAGGGGATGAACAACAGAAACGTGGGTGAAGGGAGATAGCAGACAGTGTAGGATATGAAAATAATAATTTATAATTTATCAAGGGTTCACAAGGGTGGGAGGGTTAGGGAGGGAATGAGGGGAAAAAAAGAAAAGCTGATACCAAGAGCTCAAGTAGAAAGAAAATGTTTTGAAAATGATGATCGCAACACATGTATAAATGTGCTTGATACTCAATATATGGATTCTTATAAGAGCCCCCAATAAAATGATTTATTAAAAAAACTAGTAGATATGC